CCTTAAACTTGTAAGACTTCCCAAGCTTTCTGGGAGCTCTTTCAACTGTCCAAAGATGAACTCAGCCTCCTCGATGCCACAATTCACATCCAACTCCTTGCGTTTCACTAGTGATCCCAACAAATCTCGCAGTTTCTTGAGGCTGGAGCAATGTCGGAGATTGAGATAACTACATCTCGGGTCGGGCCCTTGACTTGGCCCTGGCCTGAACTGAGTGACCCATAAAAGTGCAAATCATGGCCAAACAACCTAAAAATAAAAATGTAAAAGTTTGTAAAAAATTAATGAAAATAAAATAAGTAATAGAAATTATTAAAGGCTTACGAAATATGAAAAAAAAGAGTATATAAAAAATGAATACTTGAAAAAATTGATTCATGGCTTGAATATTACAGAAAAATAAAAAAAATAAAAAACTAGAGCATATAATAAGAAAAATTCACAAATCGTCACAAAAAAACATAAAACTCATATAGAAACATATTTCCAGAGCTATTATTAGCATTCTTTTAACCAAATTTTTTAGTTTTTAATGGTATATAAGAAGGGGGAGTTGGACCCAAAACTTCGCCTCGTTGAAGTCGAGTTACACACTTGAGTCCAAGTGGACACAGCCAAATTTTAAAACACTACCATGTAACTATCCTCAAGAACCTCATATCTAGCCTACATGTCCAGAAGAGGTCTATCTTGAAAGAAATACCTATGTGATTTTTTACGGGAGAGTAATAATTTTTTTTATATTTATTTCACCCCTTTCTTTTTGACAAAAGATCACTTACAGGTGGTCTTTATTACAACAAGATAAATTTTAAAATAAATTCAATATAACAATAAAACCAAGATGTTAACAACTTGATGCCATTGAAAAAACTATACACTATGCTTGAGAATAAAAGATAAGATTGTAAGAACAAAAGGAAGAGTGTCGGAGATTACCTTAATTGGGCTTATTACATCCTATACCGAGTCACCACCATTCGATGGCACGGGATCAACGTTCTAGCTTCAATCTCGAACCGAAAAAGCAAATTTCGGTCAAGCCACACCAATGGAACATGAACCCCTTTGATCACAAACTCAAACCCTAGGTAAATTCTCTTAAGAACCTAGTTCGAGAGAGATGGATTATCTTTTTGCTAACCCTAAAAGCCCTTAGCCATAAATCCATAGTTGAGAGATGAGAGAGAGAAGAACTCTATAACCTAAACCCTTATAGGTTCATTCACAATGTGGGAGAGAGAGAACCTTTTCTTAAGAGAGAGAGAGAGAAATTCTAAGTGGGATATGAGAGAAATATGGAATTAGGTACAAGAGATAAGATTTTGAGTAGAGACAATCTTTTTTTTACATGCTTGAACAATATGAGGGTTTTTTAGGGTTTTCCTTGGCTTGCCTTTTCTTGTAAGATTGAACATGGACCGTCGATCAAGGGTGACTTGTGGGGTGAGAGATTTGAGCCATCCATTCCATAAATGGGTCATCAACATTACAGAATATGCATGGACCATTATCCCC